GGCGGGGGGCGCGCTGCTCCGGGCGCGGCGCCTGCACCATGAACTACCAGCAGCAGCTGGCCAACTCGGCTGCCATCCGGGCCGAGATCCAGCGCTTCGAGTCGGTCCACCCCAACATCTACTCCATCTACGAGCTGCTGGAGCGCGTGGAGGAGCCGGTGCTGCAGAACCAGATCCGGGAGCACGTCATCGCCATCGAAGGTGAGGGCCGGGCCGCCGCGGGGCTTCTGGAAAGCGCGGGGGAGCGGGCGCCGCCGCGGGGCTTCTGGAAAGCGCGGGGGAGCGGGCGCCCCCGGCGCGGCGGGGCGCGCGCGCGTGTGTGCGTGCGTGTGTACACACGCGCCGGGCCGTGGCACGCGGCTGCCCGCGGAGGGAGCTTTGCGGTGCTTCATGTCCTGCAAGGCCGGGCGACGGCGGAGGGGGAGGCCGAGGGTGCCGCAAGCTCTGCGGGGGAAGATGGGCAGTAGAGTCTCTCCTGTGTGAAGGTGGCTCGATGCTGCCGCGTTCCGGGCTGTCCTAGTGACCCGGCCCAGCCGATGCCCGGGGGCAGCTGGAGGGGGTAGTGCCGCCGGACCCGTGACAAGTTACCAGGCCGGGCGTCTTGCTAGGTATTGACAGACGTTTTGGGAAGTGCAGCTGCTGGGCTGGGGGCTCAGGCCAGCGTGTTTAGGCGGGGCAGGGCCGCCCCCTTCGTGTCTTTGCCCAATTCAGGGGGCCCGGTGGAGGCAGCTTCATTGAGCCCATGCAGCCAGCCAGCCCGGGCTGCAGGCTGTGTCGTGTCCTCGTGCCTGTCCACCTGCCTCTGTGCATAGGGTAGTACTCTCCGTAGGGTGTTTTCTACCAAAAGTCTTGGGCCAAATTAGAAGCAGAGCCAGGAGGACAGGGGATTCCTCAGCCTCAGGGTCTCACTTTCACAGGCCGAGAGGCCACCTCCCCTTTCAGCTTGTCCAGCGAGGCTGTGAGCCTGCAGGAGAGGTGCTGCAGAGTTCCGCCTCTCTCGGGCCTGTGGTCTCTTGGGATTATGAGCGGCTCTTATTTCTCTGCTAGTGGGTTTCTGGATTGTCTCCTTGGTCTGTCCCTTTGGCCCCACCAAGATCTGGGGGACAAGGTGGGATGTCAGTGTGGAGTGTGGAGTTCTGCCCCTGCTATACTCAGATCAGCAGTTTTTCCTCTCTGTTGCCAGAGGTGGTACAAGGCCTGCAGGGTGGGCCATGGTACAGACCGTCCTAACCAAAGGCCACTGGGGCCGCTGTTGAGGAACACTGAGAATGTTCCAAGGCCTGGCAGGAGTTTGTCCAAAAGCCTGGGTGCAGGCAGTCACCCAGCTCCCCTCCATCTGTGACGGCATCGGTCACAGGAAGGCTTTGCTTTGGCACCACGCAGTCTGAACTACTAACCCCAAAGCGTCTTGGTTTGACACTTGGCCAGTTAGATGGGGAAGGTGGATGTGTGGTGCTGATCCTCTTGGCATTTGGCAGTCCCATGGACTTGAACCACGTCCTGGCCAGGCTGCCGATTGGCCACCTGCATCCATAGGGGACTTGCTGATTCCCTGGGAGGGTCTGAGCAGTGCTCCGCCTGTGTGGGACCTGGCTGTCAGAGCACCTGGCCACCTTGTTGGCAATTTAAGATGCTTCCAGATTCCTTGAGAGCTAGAGTCCCCGTGTACCTGCGACAGGACTTGTGGGAGGCCATGGGACCTGCGCGCATCTGCTGATGGCTGGGTGATGTTGCATGAAGGTTCCTCCAGAGCCTGAGCGCTGGCTTTGTTGTGGTCAACGTGAAAGGGGCACTGTGCCTGTTTCCCTTGTCTCTTTGCTGTTCTCTGGCTGTATCCACAGAAGTCTGATGAAACACTTTGAAAGCTAGTGGCAAGTATTGAATGCACCTCGCCAAGAGCACCTCTAGCTGAGTGTGATTCATGACGCCTCGTTTTCATTTCTCATTCGGGAAGCCCAGCTCTGGGGTCTCGAGCACTTCCAGCAAAGCAATCTGACTTTCTAGCAAGAGGATGTGGTTACATTTTTTTTTCTTTTTTTTCTCTCTTAAAAAAAAATATTATGTGGTTCCTAGATGATGGTTTTTGGTAGCTTGATGTCTGCCTTTACCATGTGACAAGTTAAGCCCTTTCTTGGCTGGAATCCTTGTCATTTTTAATAAGACTCAGAATCAGTGAATGAATTTGGGGCTTTGATGATGCTATTATTTTTCTGTTAGAAAAAGGAATGTCTATGTTGTGTTTAGCTGTTAATGAACCACTCAGATACGTTTCTGTTCTTTGCTCTACTGTGGCAATGATACCACCTTTCATTTGTATAGAACTTTAGCAGAAATACTCTTGTGTTCATCATGTCATTGTGTGGCTGTACCAGCCACGTGAGAATGTGGGCCAGCTTCATTATCTTCCTTTTGTAAAGGATGGCAGTTCAGGGAGGGATAATGACCTCCTGAACATTTGACTGAGGTCATGCAAAGTCTGGTCTGAACCAGAGGATTGTTTGAATGGAAAGCCTCGGTCTGTACCTCCCAAAGCACCTTACACTGCCCCTCCTAACGAAAGGTAAGTTCATTTGTGATAATGAAATGTCTTCTCCCTCTGTGCCAACTTTAAGATATTGGCTGGGATTTATGTCTATACTGTTGATGTTTTGGAAATTGAGAGGATTGCTCAATTGTGTCAGGGTGACATTTTTGCTATGAAAAGAACACTGTGCAGAAACAATTTTGTGTAACTGTGCAGCATGTGGGTTATTCACTCGTATGGAAACCAAGAGCGTGGCCGTGGGGTACAGAGACAGCAGACGTTGTTCGGAGCTGTAAGTGAGCACGTGCCCGGAGCATTATAGTAACTCAGACATACACAGGTCTGCCCCGCTCGAGCACCTTGCAGGTCAGGATGACACAGCAGCCAAATATAAGTCTGAATTTTAAAATAGAACCATTTCCAATCAGGAAAGCCTGTGCACATCATAGCAGATAGTTTAAAAATCATTTGTCCCACCAAACAGAGAACAGTTTGCATTTCAGAGGCTATCCAGCTAGGCCTCCCCTTGCTTCTGTGGGTACATATACAAAGTTGGATTCATATTTACAAAGTTTCTTGATTAGCATATTGTCAGCACTTTTCAATGTTACAAAAAATTTTGGAGATACAATTTCTTATGTTGGCATAATAACCCAGCACTTGGCTATGCTATAATTTATTTAAAATTTTCCTTTTTTTTGGTGTTTTCAAGAATTTTTACTGTTGGCATGAGGAGTGGCCTTGTCAAAGGATGTTTGGCTTACATCCTTTTAAAGCTCATTTCAGAGTGATTCTAAGTGGGTCTGGACTGGAAAATCTCTTAGTGATGGGCTGAACTGTGAAAAGAGTTTGAAAGAGTTCACCAAGATTCCCAAATAAGAATGGGTCTGTGGACCCTGTTTGCAGGCCTAGGAAATGTGATTTTCTTTTTGTTTTAAAATATTAACTCATAAAAAGTATTTTTTTTCAAATTTTTTTTTTTTTTAAGATTTTTATTTATTTAACAGAGAGAGAGAGAGCACAAGTAGGCAGAGCGGCAGACAGAGGGAGAGGGAGAAGCAGGCTCTCCACCGAGCAGGGAGCCCGATGCGGGCCTCGATCCCAGTACCCTGGGATCATGACCTGAGCCGAAGGCAGCCGCTTAACCGACTGAGCCACCCAGGCGCCCCCAAATTTTTATTTCAGACTTCGAGAGATTTATTTTTTCTCCTAAGTCTCTGGATTTTAAGGAAGCGTTGCTGGTGGTTTTCAGATTTACCTGGTTAGATTTCTGACGTGTCCCACAGGGGTGTGGCATGCTCTGAAACGTAGCTGTGTAGCATGGATGTTCTCCATACCCAGACACAAGTCTGGGATCCGCTGCTTCCAGTGTGGACAACTTGTCTGGGTTTCCCTCTTTGGTTCTCTTTTAAAAAGTCTGTCTGGGGTTGATGGGTCTGAGGTAAATGAGTCAGCTGCCTTTCTTGTTAAATAAAGCTTGTTTTTCTCTTAGGGATAATGCCTCTGTTTGCAAATTGCACATTGTAATTCAGCTTGCTGGCAGCAGAACCGGTGGTGGGAATAACAGGGCAGTGGGTTCATTCACTGGGGCAGTGGTTGAGCCCCCAGCCAGCTTTCATGCCTCCACCCTCACCAGGTGGCAGATTAGGGGAACCAGGCTCCCCACTGGCCCCACTGGTGGTTTGTGTGGCTTTCTCTGGAGAGGCACGAGAGCCCTTTCCTTAGCCGGAAGGGTCTGCCTGGCGCCTCTGGAAAGGGCACTTTGACAGGGGATTCTAGGGCTGAGCCCCTGCAGTGGGGGACCTGGGAAGGTGGGGTAAGGGGCCACCTGATCCCATGATCCAGCTGAATTGTTGAGCATCTGTGTACAGCAGAGTGCTAAGTGCTTGCCCTGCATTGTCTCAATTCATCCTGCAGTGATCCCATGACATAGATGTCACCTCTGAGGTCCCGAAAGTGTGGAGACTTGCCCAAGAGAGTTGACCTGGGTTGGCCTGACCTCAGCGCTGGCTCTGTAGCTCCTTATGAGACAGAGTGGAGCTCCTGGTTATTCATGGTTTCCACAGGCCTTATGTGCCACCACCCCAAGCATGGGTTGCCTTTACCTAAGATGAGAAGGGTTTGAGAATGATGCAGGTAACTGGGAGTATTATGTTCTCTCTGAAGTTGCTTACCATGGCAGAACTTCTAAGAGTTGGTTTTCATACAGAAAATTATTGAATCTGGTTGTTGCATGTGTACCTGTCTAGGGAACAAATACCTTCTTCCTGCCATGGAGGAGCATAATTTTTCTTTGCCATTAGCAACTGAATTCCTAATATTTAAGGTTTAGTCAAAGGGTGCAGGTATGGGGCCTTTTAGTTATTGATATGAATGTTGCAGTTTCTTCCTTAAAAATAATTCTCAGTTGACTGTTCCTTGCTTCCAGGTTAAATTTCATACCTTCCCAGCCTCCAGCTCCCCCACAATCCAGATGTCCCATCTGGCCTGGCTGATGGCAGTGTCTTCCCCTACCTCTCCCAGGCAGAATTATGGCCTGCCTGCTCTGTGTCCTTCAGCTCATCTCTAGCCTGAAGGACTGAGAGCTTTCTGAGGGCAGAAATAAGGTCCTGTTCATTTTTTATGTCCTCAGGGACTCAGTGTGTTACGTCTGGCCCTTGGAGGATGCCCAGGAATT